GCAAGACGATGGTTAGCGTCTTTACTGCACAGGACAGAAATTAGTTAACGCTCTTCTCCCAGGCTGGCAAAAAATTGAAAAAATAACATCTCGAAGAATATAGAGCACTTGAGGCTAACTGGCTTAACTTCTACGCTGACTGTGATTCTGTGGTGAGAGTGTCTTAAACCACTCGGTGTCAATTTCAGAACGGGTTTGATGTGAACTAAACAGAGACTTTGAATACACTCTCAGGGACAGCTCCATGAATATGGCAGCGACGGTTTAACCCACGTTCGGTCCATGACTCACTTGACTTGAACCCAGAAAATAATGAATGCGAACTTCTTGGCTTAACCAATAAGCAAATAAAATTCAAAATATTTATAGCCCGGCCAAATAAGTAGTGCTTCTATTCTATTCTATAAGCCACGGAATCTTTCTATCTGTCAACCGGACTAAATTAACTCTGTCCTCCGAAAATTCGCGGACTCATTCAGCTTTTCTTCATCAGCCTACACTGAATTTAACGGTAGGATTATGCCCCCGTGCAACATATACCAATTTCAGTTGACCCAAATGTGAAAAATTCGCGCCCTCGATGGGAGTCGAACCTACATCCTGTCTCTGATGATAAATCCGCGACGGATGTCGAAACGTCAGGCGAATAAACGTATTGTCCCAGCGATAGTCTTCTTCTTCTCTACACAACTTTCCTGATAACTAAGTGAGCCTAGTAGTAATTCTGGTGGATTCTAGATGATTGCTTAGGAAATCCTGCCTGCGCAGTCAGCTTTCTGTATCCGTAATGGTGAATTCCATACGAACAGTTTGTTGGGCGGGCAAGATTGATCAAGGTGTGATTGGATTCATGGCTCACGGTGAGCATCGTAGCTCAATGGTAGAGCGTTGGTTGCGCAAAAGCTTTCCCTACTGTGTGGGGTCGAAGCCGCGAGTTTTCTCAAAATTGAGCCAACTGAATTATACAAACCCTCCTAATAATATACCAATTTGTCTAACTCACTACTCCGTCTGCTACATTTCCTGCTACTTCTCCCCAAATAAATGGCCGATGCTGATTACAGAGAGAACAGGAACTACTGAGAAGACCTTGAGGTTGCGAAATCTGCAGCTCCAGGAAATGTGTGTGTCAGCCCCTACCCGGCGTTTCTCTACTTGAAAGAAGCCTCTTGACGGACTCCTTGAGCCGTCTGTCGAGGATTCTGACGGGAGCATTGAAAAGTTGATTTTGACTTAGATGCTTAAGTGATTCCTGGTAAGAACTAAATTCAACCCATCCTAGTTATCCTCTCACCGAGGGTCGCGTATGGCTGATCGACGATTGCTGGCAAGCCAGACATATCAACTTCCGTCTCCGTTGCCTTTGTTGGTAATCTAATTCTGATGATTCACCCTCAATAAGGTTGCAGTTGCAGAATTTAGGGCAAATGTTACATACCGCAGGTTTGTGGAAAAGGCCTTGGAAACTGAGTTCTGATGGCTTTGACTCAACCAAATCTCATACAAGATTTCCTCTCAGGGTGTACTGATATGACTGCTTGACATTGAAAGTTAAATATGTCTTTGTAATCTGTTTGAATATGCATTTGGATGCCAAATGACACCATCATTTATTGCAGGCAGCCAAATGTTTTCCGATGTATCCACGTTTCCGATGCACTTTCAACGCCTGGCTGGGACCTTACTTTAGCAGACAGAGCAAGCCGACGTGAAGCCGCCACAGCTGTCGTTGGTAGAATTACGAATGTCACTTTAATGTTTACAACAACACCCTAAGTTACAGCTGCCTTCTATTATTACCGAAAGTGGTACTAATATTACTTCCAGTTATATACTTTTACCCTGTTATTACAACCACTATCATTACTACTGCGGATTCTACCAGTGTCATTGCCTCAAAAATTGTCGCTTCATAAAAAGGTTTACTTATACTCACAGTACTACTTTACCGTCAGTCATACCTGATCACAACCACAGTAAACCGAATTTAACAATGCCTATCTGTAGCTTCTTTCATCTTCTCCGACAGGGCCTGTTTGTAACGGCCGATGACGTAGCCAACCTCCGCTACACA